TGAGTCAACTTTTTTTTTTTTTTTCTGTATTTTTTATGACATGTCATTGTTACGATATATTTATTTGCGGATAACTAATCCCCTTTGAAGAACCTGATTGACCAACTTTATGAGAATCTCTTCTCTCAACCGCTTGTTTGTTTGTTTGTTTTTTTTTTTTTTTGTGTAATTCATAATGCTCGAACCTGAAACCTTGTTGAAGGGTACTGAGTCTAGTATCACTCTTGTTGGTTTTTTCTTGTTTTTATTTTGGATTAGATATTAATTTATTGTGTTAGACTTATTATGTTATTTTAAGTAATTTTGCTTCATTAATTTCTATCTGAAATTTCCATTTACTGTTCTATCTATATTACCCTGTCTCTTGGCTCGGAAAAAAATTTGCACCTTTCACTTCGTGTATATTTCTTCCATAAAGATGGAAGTAGAATGCTGGAGTTGCGTTGATTAACAATGGGGTTGTATAAATCATGGCTAAGGAATAGTCTTAAATAATTTTGAGCATTGTGTGCTAGGTCAATTACAGCTTTGTCCCAATTGTTTGAATAAAAAACACTATGCCGGCCTAAAAGCTGACACTTTGTCCCCTAGGCTGTTTTTGTATCACTCAAGACCACACTAGAGCTTTTTCTGTCCATGTATAGCAAAGAACAGGCGTGTTAAGAGTTTAAAAGTTGTTTCTAGCCAAATCTCAGTTTGACGGTAAAGGATTGCTGTTTTGAGACATTAGGAAACTATGACAATTTGTTTATCCACGATGTAGGATGGTATTCTTTTTCTATTTTTTGGTGATTGAATATTTCATGTACTCAGTAAGAGTTTTCAAGACAACATTGAAGGTTTTTTTATGACTTACACACTTTCTTTTTAAAAATTGGATAGAAGAACACAGGGTTGTGACTTGTGAACAAACTACTAGGAGGAAAAATGTAATTTTTCAAATTTGCACTTAATTTTTATGACTTGTTTCTCTATCTGAAGTTATAATTCAATTAATTCTATGCTACTAAGATATATGAACTTCATATTTTAGCTCCTTGCTCGAAGATTGTTCGATGAATAAACACCTATTTTAGGTGCTGAAAGATACAAATGATATCAATTTGGTTGTTGAGGCCAAAGAAGGTTGACATTAATTCATCTTTTATTCATCCACATTCCACTCCAATTTTAATGTAGTTTACTTTACTAATTGAGGGACTAAATTGATGTCTACATTCATTGGTTGGTGGACTGAATAGGTATCTACTTTTGTTCAATCTTGCGTGACTTCTGCATCTTCATCTAGTTTGGAATGGAATATCCAATGTATATTTTTTATAAGACATTAATAGAATATATCTTATGTTCTTAGCTGTTCATAGTCTTCACTTTCAGACATCTAATTTATCAGATTTGTGTTGTTCTTATTAGATTTGGTTCATATGTTAGTTTATATGTTTAGGGTTTGATGAATTTTTCAATACTTTGTGCGGATATAATACTCATATCCATTACTATCTAGTCCTCACTATGATTTTTCAAACAAGTTACCTAAGGTTTCCAAGTTTCAGTAGCTTTCAATAAAAACATTTATCATAAATTCTTATATATATATATATATATATATAAATTTGAGTTAATTACATAGTTACACTTTAAGTTGAAGAATGGCAAAATTAGATGCATCTTCCTTCCTTTTACAGAAGTTACAATTTAACTTACCGTCTGGTAAAACAAATATTCATTGACTATACATGTGATTTGATTGTTTTGACCTTTTGGTGTGTTTTAGAGTTCTGATTTCTTGGTTATTTATATTAAATGAGAAAATATAGAAATGTTTTCTCATTTTTCTCCGTATCATCCAAGTGTTGATTGGTTAAATTCACTTGTCACATACTCAAATTTTTTGTGTAGGAGGAGAGTATTTTTAGATAATAGAACATGTTAATGTTATCAACACCTTTTTTATATTTCTACTTTCTATTAAAAGCTTTAGGTAGGAGGAGGGGAAGGTGATTCTTGTGCTAAATTTTGTAGTAATGGGAAAGTATATTACTTTTTAACCTAGAACAAGAAGGTAGGTGGTTTAATTTTGTCATACATAAGATAAGGAAGTATGTGTACTTTACTAACAACACTATCTGACCTTAAAATCCATGTATATCTGTTAACATGATTCTTCATTTGTACTTATTCAGATAAAAGTCACTCCATCTCACTAAGCAATACTTGTGCTCTTAAGAATTTGGGCAAAATCTTGTTATTTATACAATTTTACATGCATTTAGATTAGATTGTTTAACTATATTAGTTGAACTTTGAAAAGTCTCCAATGAGCAATTGTCAGGCAGTTTTTATCATTTACGCTTCTAAAAATTAAGTAATTAAGTCAATCCTTTGCAGTTTCCCCCTTTCTCAAATACAGTTTTAAGTAGTTGACTTCATTCATTTTCATGCTTGTTAATTCCAAGATAGTGGTGTATAGCAGCCAACCTTGAAACAACTCTAGCAGAATAACAGATAATGGGATAGCCGCAATACTGAAGTTTATAAATACAAAATAAATAATTTAAACCAAATAAATACAATTATGAATGCTAAAAAAGAGTCAATAACAACAGACACCTCCCAAATTTCTGCAATGTTTAATTGTCTATCTGAACACAACTTAGGAAGAATTAAAGAATTGAGGAGATGAAAAGCATAGACATGCTGAAAAAATAAAGAAAACAAAAACAGAGCAGAAGAGGCTTGTGGGTTGGCCTAAATTGCTGTGGGAGTACTGAGGTTGGGCGGAAACACACAAAAGAGCTGTGGTTTAGACAGTTTCTGTTGAATAGAAGAGACATGGGAGAGAAGTTTCAAACACTACCTAATGAAAAAAGGGAGAAATTGTGAAATTTTCCCAAAAGATGTTGAACAATCAGGTGATAGAGAAGGTTCTTTAACCTTTTATTACCTAACAAGGTCATCACAGCTGCTAATTGGTGTGATTTGGAGTATGACAGGTCACAGACTCACTGGTGCTCCACAAAATCACATCTATGGCTTTTGTATAGTGGGCTGAGGCCAAGATGCAAAACAATGCCACAATTGTTGCACTATTGCATGCAAATAATAACCCTGTCATCATATACTTATATCTTGCACCAACTGTACAACATATTTTCATCATGCATTTTTATCAACTATGAGAAAATGTGAAGCACATAACAGGTAAAAGATAAGGCAGGAAATTTTAGTAATCACACATTGGAGATTGGTATAATTATGCGTGCTATGTTTACATTCTTTATGCACTCTATAGGTACATAGAAAAAGAAGAAAAACATATTGCAATGCACATGGTCGTCATAGACTGGATCACTGGAGCCAGCAGATAAATAAATGAGGCATCCTGAATAATGCTAAACAGTCTGTGGAAAGATAATTTATAACATGAGCATTGCTAGAACAATAACCCGACAAGATGCCTAGAACGAAAAACAGCTTGAAGATCTTGGTTGGAATTTTGCATGGCCAAGAAGGAAAAGACTGAGATATCACTTGAAAGATGCGTTGTAGGAATTTCTTGGCATGCAATCATACAAGCTAGGCCCTAACCTATTCAAATTCATCAAATGCAGCTAGAATAGCCTTAAAATTGTATGTCTAGGAATAGGGACCATCACTAATCTCATATTTACATTGTAAATTACAATGAACCAAAAAGTAACGTGTAGTACATTAGTTGCTATAAGTAAAATTGCATGAATGTTTAAATTCAAACATAACTCATGATTATTGAAGTTCATCTTGGAACCATACATAAAGAAATTTGTCTTCTATAAATTACGATAGTGTAAAAAGTGAGAAAGAAAGTAAGGGTATATTCACCCTTGGTTTGAATTAAAGTACCCTGTAAACTTAATCTACTTAAATCAGGGATAGCTACATCCTTTCTCACTTTATATCCTTATTCACCTAAGGGGAGCCAAATCTGATATTAAAAATTGACATGCAAAGCATATGTGGAAGACTTATCCTATGCTAATTTTATTTATAAAAAAAAAAATTCATAAAGGATGTATATTAGTACTCATCATTTGAATTCAAAATGCAGAAGAAGAAGATCCCCATGGCCCAAGATTTCCATCCAAGCACAACATCAGGATGGCAATGTATTGGCTTGCACAAGGATGTCAACCTGGAGACTCCCTGGTTTTTCATTATTCTGGTCATGGATCGCAGCAAAGGAACTATAATGGTGATGAAGCTGATGGATATGATGAAACTCTATGTCCCCTTGATTTTGAAACACAGGGTATGATTGTAGATGATGAGATCAATGCATCACTTGTCAGACCTATTCCTCCTGGGGTTAGGCTACATGCACTAATTGATTCCTGCCATAGTGGTACTGTTCTCGATTTGCCATTTCTTTGCAGAATGAACAGGTTACCTTCTAAAGATAGTCTATGCTGTAGTTTCTGCATTGTTGAACTATTATGAATTTTGATCTTGTTGACTTTAGCATTGTGATTTTTGATGAAAGATTCTTAACTTTGCATTGACACATACTCTAAAGGTGCTTTTGGTAAAGATAATTTTTTCCATGCACAAAAATCATGAAAATATATTAGGTTGGTCATAAATGTTCTTGATAATATCCATATATGTTACTTGAGAATTAAATATTTTTACCACATTAAATTAGTAGATAAAAATAATGTGATATTTTTACGGCAATACAACTGTTAATTCTCACATTCCTTATGGGACTCGATTTTCTGGGAAACATGTGTTAAAAACATTCTCAGGAAATATTGTCTCTTGAAAATGTTAATTTTTAGATAATAAACCAAACATGGAAAACTAATATTCTCAACTTTAGATTCTCGAGAAACTAAAAACTTTCTGCAGACCAAATACTCTCTAAAGGAAAACATATATCTTTTGCTAAAAAATAGAGTTAAGTGTTTAAGAATACTTTTAAATCATCATACAACATCCTCCTACTAATCCTTCTTTGAATTATGTTTTCATGATAATAAATATATGTTCTTTTTGATTTAATACTTTAAAAAATATTAGAGGATTAAATGTGCATATGAAAATATGGAAGTGGATATATAATTTGATATAAGTGTAGGAAATATTATATTCCAGAGATTAGAGAAAGTTGGAGTGACTTATTCAGTAAGAAATGAAAGAGACTCACCTAAGGTGGGTTTGGTTTTGTGAGAAGGAAAATTGTCGAGGATTTGATACCAATGGTGTCTATTGAGCTATATTTAGCTTACTCCACTTATGGGATAAAGCCTGTTTATTGTGTTATTTTATTCTTCTGTGCCTACTTGCATCTATTCCTTCAAAAATAGAGTCCAACATGGGAGAAGAGTTTAGATGAAGGAAACTAAGCTATGTATATTGCAATTTCTTTCTTTGTTTTATTTGCTGGTCTTTATGTGCATAGAACATATGTAGTTCTCGGGAAATATGAAAGGTACCCAGAGAAAATAAGATGGAAACTAGTGATAAAGAATCAAAAGAACATAACTTTATAGAAAAACAGAACAGAAAATGGAGAATAGAATTGTCCCCTATGGTTTCCACTTCACAAAGGATCTCTCTCTTCAGTTGCACAATCTATCCATCAAATTCATAGAATGCCTCCCTCGATTCTGGTTTCCCCCATGTAACCAGTCTCTTCTAACTAACTAGTCCAACTAGCGGACTAATGGACTAACTGGCTGACAGGGCTGTTCTTATTGACTCTCATTATACTCCCTAGCCTTTTTATTCACACTTTGTTTCTATCTTTGTAACAGGAATGGACAATATGTATGGGAGGACCATCGCCCTAGGTCTGGCGTATGGAAGGGTTCTAATGGTGGAGAAGTTATCTGCTTTAGTGGATGCGACGATCATCAAACTTCTGCTGATACATCAGTAAGTTTCAGCAAATTCAAATTGTTTTTTCTCTGACTGTTTCAATCTAGGTCTGTGAGACCTGTTGGCTGAACATATGATCATTATCTGTAAACAGGCTCTATCAAAGATTACATCGACTGGGGCAATGACATTTTGCTTCATCCAAGCCATAGAGCGTGGTCATGGGGCTACCTATGGCAGCATTCTTAGTGCAATGCGCAGTGCCATCAGAAATGCTGATGGTGGTGGTGGTCTTGGGGGTGGCGACGTCGTAACATCCCTTCTGTCCATGCTTTTGACCGGAGGAAGTGTCAGTGCCGGTGGACTGAGACAGGTAAATATAGGTTGATTTGACAGTTGTCTGATCATATTACAAGCCAAGTTTTAACTGTTTTCTTTCTCAGTTTCTGGATGACCTGAACTCATTAGTTCTATACCTATCAGTTCTTTTTTATGTGTGGCCACTTTGAACTGACATCTGCTATTCCTATTTCCGTTTGTTTCAACAGGAACCGCAGTTAACAGCTTGCGAAGCATTTGATGTGTATAGTAAACCCTTCTCATTGTGAAATTCAATATTCTTTATACTGCAAATTGTTTTTGTCAGTGCTTCTCTTGTATACCACTACAAGATTACAAACAATGAAAAATTAATGTATTATAAATTAGATAGGATACTTTTTCTTCGGAAACCACTGAGTATGTGTTTGGACGAATTTATGTCTACCCTTCTTGAGAGCGTGATATGGATATAATAATGACTTTGGTTGCTGCTGCAATCCTTGGATTAATATGCTGATTTGACTCAGAATCGCACATGTAATTTGAATTCTACACCAGAGATGAGCTTACCCTTACCGTTACCACTGGTTAAAATAGGTTTGTTTGTGACATCAAATTGTGTGTGGTGCATATCCTTAGTAGATGGGGAAAGTGAAAAGTGGTTCTTGTCCTCTTTTTGGCCACAGTAAATAAAAAAAAAAGCTTAAATATGTTTAGTCCCTCGTAAATCTATTTTTAGTCTCCCAAATTTAAAATGTTATTTTTAGTTCCTGTAATTTTAAGAAATTTTATTTTAGTCCTTGTATTTAAATTTTGTTAAGAAATTTAACAAACATTATTGATAAAATCTATCTATTGGTATCCTTATTAATAAAAATATCGCATTAAATTCGGTTGATATTGCATAACTGTCTTAATTAGTCACTTTTAAATTGTTATTGGTGACCTAAGAGATTAAAACAAGATTTTTGAAAATTATTGAGATTAAAAATAATAATTTTAAATTTGAGAGACAAAAATAAATTTATCTTAAATTTGAGAGACTAAAAATATATTTAAACTTAAAAAAAATTACTTAAATTATTTAGAAAACTATTTATCGGAATAAATAGTTTTGGACACCAATGTCACCAGGCGCCCCCTGCATGGTGCCTTCAAAAATTCATGTCCCGAAAAGTAAGGTGCCACATGCAGGTGACATCTTTATAAAAAACACAAATGAAAGAGTTGGGACCTTCCGAAGAACAAAAATGAAAAAGTAGGGCAGGGCAGTAGTGGCTTCTACTCGTAACTTTTTGAAAGGAGTTAGTAAGGTATTTTTATAAATCGAAATGTTTTGATATAATCAATTTGTTAAATTAATAAAAATAATGTAAAATGTGATTCTTTTTTATTTTTATCCTTTTATATTAAAAAATATGTTTTTAACAAATAAATGATTTATATAATTAAATTATTTTTTTTCGTCAAATATTAATCCAAGGGTTTCAATTTATAAAAATTAAAATAACTTTGACGAGAATACAATAAAATTTTATTTTTTGAAGTTGTCAAAGGTTTTATTAATTTTTTATTCAATTTACTTCTTTAAATTTGTATATGTGCAAAAAAAATTAATTTATCATAACTTATAATATGTCAAAAATATTCTTATTAAATCTAAAAATTTTGTATATAATTAAGAATTTTAAGAAAATATATATTGAAATAAAAAAATATATAATCATGTTAAAATTCAAATAATTTTATATTTTATATTTTATATTTAAACCAAATTTATCTTTTATAATTTATCTTCTACGACGATGATTATGTTTGCAATAGGTAGAACTAATATGACCAGAAAAGTTATAGAAAATTATATTTATTTATGGTTTGATGGCAATAATAATATATCAATAGTGTAAAATTGTATATCGTCATCCAAAATTTAAATAAAATAAAAAATAATTAAATATAATAAATAAAAAAAATTATAATTACCAAAATACGTGATTCTGACCAGATGGCATTGGGTTAAAGAAGGCGCAAGGGAGTACGGGCCGTTCTGCTGGGATTGAGAACGGGCCGTTCTGGTTTTGGAACGGGCCGTTCCAGTTGAGATTTTTGCATAGTTCTGGAGGGTCCAGAACGACCGTTCCATTTTTGGAACGGGCCGTTCCGAGTTAGGTGAGGCAGATTCCTATAAATAGGAGGCCTTACCTCTCATTTTCTGACATCTCTCATTCCCTCTTCCTATTCTCTTCTGTTCTTTTTTATTTCCCTCTTCTTCTCTCTGAAGACCATGGGGCACTTAGAGGAGGAGACCAAGAGATCCCTGTTTTAGTTCAACTGCTGTTTATCCAGGTACGGGGGAAAATGGAATTATTTATATGTAGAGTTACATGAGGGAATTGGGTAGAGGAAGAATCCCTTAGGATTATGAGTAATTTTATAATTATTTTTGTTTGAAGAATTATTAGTCTTATTTGATTCTGTATGTATTTAGGAATATGGATATATGATTAATTGGTAAAAATGATGCTCTGGGAGAGAGAACGAAATTATAGAAAAGTGCTTGTGTAAGTTAGGTTGTGAAAAATTGGATGATTTCTGTTTGAGAAATTAATGACCCCATTAGATTTTGTATGTGATGAGGATTATAAATATGCCAATAATTTGTAAGACTGATGATCTGGGGGAGAGAACGAAATTGTAGAAAAGTGTCTGTGAGCTAGGTTTTGGAACAATTGGGGATTTTACTATTTATGTTAAGATTGTATTAAACTGATAATTCCTTTGATTATCATATTAACTTATGAATGTTATTGCTATATTACTTGATAAAATTGATGACTTAGATGTGAATTGCTTGAGATGTATGAAACTCATTATCTTGGACTTATCTGATGCGTGTATGGAGTTGAACTATGAGATGTTGTGTGGAATGTGAATGAGATGTGATTGTGGTTCTTCACACCTATGACCAGGGGTGAGCACGGCCCGGGATTGTTACATGGGTATCGTGACCTTGGTTAACATGTTAGGGGTGAGCACGACCCTGGGTTAGGGGTAACGTGACCTTGGCACAGTGTTATATCAGGGGTGAGCACGGCCCGGGTATGTTACATGAGTATCGTGACCTTGGTTAACATGTCAGGGGTGAGCACGGCCCTAGGTTAGGGGTAACGTGACCTTGGCACAGTGTTATATCAGGGGTGAGCACGGCTCTGGATTGTTACGTGGGTATCGTGACCTTGGTTAACATGTCAGGGGTGAGCACGGCCCTAGGTTAGGGGTAACGTGACCTTGGCACAGTGTTATATCAGGGGTGAGCACGGCTCTGGATTGTTACGTGGGTATCGTGACCTTGAATAACATGTCGGGGGTGAGCACGACCCTGGGCTAGATATGCTACACGGGAATCGTGACCTTGGCACAATGTTATATCAGGGGTGAGCACGGCCTTGGATTGCTAATTGGGTAGCGTGACCTTGGCATAGTGTGAAGTGCAAGATTTGTGATGAATGGTGTGATTGAGAATTATGACGTGATGACGATGCATGATTGATTGAAATATTTATGGATATTAAGCTATAATGAGATAATATGTTGTGTTTTCTTATGTGCTATATATATAGATGTTTTCTTTTCTCACCATACAACTTGTGGATGTTTTAGGTGAGGAAGATCCGGGCTATGAGTGGCATCTAGAATGTCAACAGTTGATTTATGGGTATGTTCTGATATTGTGACATCGGGGCAGAGGATTTCTAGGATATGAATTGTATTTGTATATGGAGTTGAACCTATTATTTTGAAAACATTTTGTAACCTCTTATGTTTTATTTTCCAAGTTTCATTTTCAAACTATTTTAGATATTGAAGAATGTTTCTAAAGGTTTTTATGTGAACCCTTTTACCTATGTGGAAAATTTTATTTCCTTAGTTTATTTATATTATTACAATATATGTGTTGGGGTAGTAAGGGTGTCACACCAGATGATGCGTAATATGAACGCTCTAGTATAGCGTTCCAACTGCTCCTGGCTATGTACATGCTCAAACACATCAGAGAAGTGTTGGTCAATCCAGCTCATCCTCAATCGACCGCCAACTAGCACTGACTTCGGGAGTGTCATGCCGATAAGGCGCTACACACAAGACCTGCCTAATCCATGGATGCATATCCAATAATGGGCGCACCAGAAATCTTCAACCCAAGTATAACATAACAACATCCTCCAATGTGATCGTACATTCGACGAACGACATGTGAAACGTGTGGGTCTCTGGTCTCCATCGCTCTACTAAGGCAGAAATTAAATGACTGTCCACTAGAAAGTAACTGATTTGGGCCACCCCCAAAAACCCAACCCTTTGTAAAAGATCCCGAATAACATCTGGAAACTCAACATCACGCAACTCTGTTTGTGGTTGCTCTCCTAGCCTTCAAAATTCTATCTTCAGCTCCATTCCATACATGCTCAGATATATGGAATGATTGAAGCCTTAATAAGGAATCGTCAATAGGTCCTGGATGAACAATCTGTCTAGACATCTTGATATAAATAAACAAAGAAACAAACATACATTGACATTCTTAACTTAATATTACACTAAATTAAAATAATATTTATACAACATCTAAATTCATATTAAATTTTAATAAATAATAATATTCATATTTCGTTTATTATAATTATACAATAAAATAAAATTTTCATACGTATCATTAATGATTTCTTAAGTATTATATTAAGTAATTCTTTATTTTCCAATTTTATTTAATTAATAGTTACATTAATTATTAATAATTTGTACTTACAAAAATAATACCATAAACAAACAAATGGGATTTAATAAATATAAAACATTACTCATTTATAAATATTTTTTACATTTATTTTTTTTATTTAATATTTTACAATATAATTTTCTGAATATATTTGTTATAATTACTATAAAACCATATAATTTGTTTAATTTTTCTAAAAATGAATTTTACATTAATAACAATATTTACATTATAAAACCAAATGATATTATAAAAGATATATAACTTTATAAATTATTTTATTAGTAGTAGAATTTGTCTTTTTATAATAAATATTTATTAATTTTTATAATTTTTAAAATATACAACATACGTCAAATTTTAAATTTACTATTTAAATAATATTATTATTCATTTCTTTGTTTTACTAAATACAAACTACTAATCTTTGCGTTATTATTAATTAAATTGGATTCCAATTCTTGTTTACTAATAAATATTTTATAATTAATACATAAATAGTTCTTACATATATTATTGCATACGTATTTATTATCCAATTTATTTCCTAAATATGTATGTTATAATAAAACTTCATTAATGTTTATTCAATTTATTTTTGTTATTAATATTAAATACTTAATATTATTATATTTAACGTTGCATCATACTTACATATTTTACATAATATTTATTAATTACGAATATTAATTTTTTTAAATGTCTTCTATAATAATAATACATAGTAAATCTTCAAAATCTATTATTAACTATATGTCTATTAAAGAATTTGTATAATTACTTTATTTTCAAATATTACTTTACAATGTACTTACATTTATTATTGAATATTTTATAATTAACATTATTTTATTGTTTAAATTTTCACTATATCATAAAGAAAACAATACACGTTGTCAATTTATTTTAAATTGTTTTTAATTTACCATTTTT